GATATATGGTCCTGGGTTTCAAATTTCAGTACAATTTTCAGACAATCCCCTGAAGAAAAAAAAAACTCGACATATAATTGAATCAGGTGCAGAGTATAAACGGACGATCGAGATAAAAGCCTGAATATGATCTTCATGGTCATCTTGTCCATCATAAGATTGTAAGACTGGGGTTCCGTTTGATAAAACTGAATATGAATTCTGAATTTTGAATATTGAAACAATTAATTTGCTCAATATTAAGCACTGAAAAGAAATATATGAATATCTGAATCTTAATACTGAGCATATTTATACTGTTTGATAAACATTTATAACTTAATACTTAATAAGCTAAATTGTACAATTTTGCCCTTCTATCTTTTAATCCAAAAAGGAAATAGAACATATGATTTAATTAGCTTAAAATTGTTAGGTATGAAAATGACAATATTTATTTTTAAATCAAAATAATATAAAAGAAGAAATATATTATGGAAAAATCCAAATATCGGTGCAAATATATTTTAAAATCAGAGTTTGATAAGAAAAGTCCAAATATAAGCAAAAGGAAGTTGCAATAAACAAGTTTTAAATTCACACCAAATTATATAAAAATTTAATTACTTCAATGGAAAAATGTTGACGCTACCTTGGAAATAGTGAATTTGAGATCGGTGAGTACGGTAGCAATAAAAAAAATTGGGAGGAAAGAAATGACAAAATTATGAAAGAATAAAAAGATGGAAAAAGACAAGGAGTAGACAGATGTGAGTAGTATGAAGAAATTGTAAAAAAATCATTAAATAGGGAGAAAATAGAAGTAGAAAGCCATTAGACAGAGAATGCCAAGTTGTTTAATTAGATAAGGATTTTGGACAGAGAATATTAAGTTGTTTAATTAGATAAGGATTTTGAATGTAATTAACAAACAAGAATATATTTGGTAGATAAGATAAAGCAGTTGAAGTAAATCTCTTGATTCTTATCAAATTAAGCATTCAGTTACGATTCTTGTGCTGAAAAAAATACATACAAATTCAGCACCACTTAATAAGTTCAGCAGAAAAATTTTTATTTATCAAACACCAAAAACATCTGAATGTCTGAATGAATTCAGTTTCAGCACTTTTTTATGTTATCAAACAGACACTGGGTGTTTAAAATTCAAAGGAACCAAATCGTCATTTGTTTCATTAGTAAAATGTGGGGTTTTCATGTAGTTTGTAGCAAATCCGGTAAGGCACTTAGGTCCGTCATTCATTCGCCTTTCAAGTAGACCATGAGAGGAGATTTGGAGATAGAGGCTAGTTTAGAAGTAGACTTTGTGGAGGTTCGCCTGAAATAACTCCGCCTCGAATGACAATCATCCGATTCCTCCTCAGAGAGAATATCTGGAGAAGTGGCGGGCGTCGCTTTGATGACTCGGGTTTTTTCTTCCTCTTCCTCTTCCTCTTAAAAAATCTCCCTAACTCTTCAAATATATCAGAGTTTTCGATCACGAATTTGGCCATCTTAGTAAGGATCTTTTCGTTCGTGGGTTGAGAATTTTGTCTAGATTCCTCTGCATCCAAAGTGGTCTCGTGTTTGTTATCAGCATCAGTCTCGAGTTTAGCCCGAGAAGTTTTTCGACATTTTGATTGTGTAGATATTATGGTAAACGAACTATCGTTCCCACAGATGACATCAATTGAATAAATGAATTCTTGATGAATAATGCGATGTCACCAAAGACCAGCTCGCCTGTAAAATTTCAAATGGTTGTGGCTTTGCCCCCAATCTCATTCTGATGCTAAAGTCATAAATAGTTTGAAAGTTGAATGTATGGGTTAGATTGCATACCTTGCGTGGAAGTGTTAGATAAGTATTTATAGTAGATGAGTTTGTAGATAAAATGATGAGATCTACCCATTATCAGCCATCATGAGATAGTTTAGAGTGACAGTGTCAGGTGTAGGTCTGAACAGTAAGGTGGTTGTGCGGTTACATCACTCCATCAGTTACAAATCATCCAAATAACCAAAATATCGGTTGTCTTGGGTAAAGGAGTACGCGATGTGAAGCGACTTTTCAGGGTGATTTCGATAATCATCTCGTCAAATATGCCCAAGACGAGATGTCTCCTGTAAAAAATGAATGAACAGGATTGACAAGTCTGGGCAGGACGAGATGTCCATGAGTAGCATATTATTTGTATTTACTACTATTTAATAGGCAGTCATACATGGGAAATAAATAAACACAAAGCAATTTTAATTTTAGAAAAGGATAATTAAAAAGTAGAGAAAAACAATCGAAATGGGTCACACAAGAACTTAAAACCTATGCAAGAAAGAAAATGGGCCACAACACAACTAGAGGTAACTAGAACCATGAATAGTCCCTAATGAGGTAAAAAGGTAGTACAACTATCATATGAAATTACTGCAATAGTCAAGACGGAGATGGACTAAAGGAACTTCAACTTAAGCAGAAGAAAGTGGAAAATAGAAGGTTTTGTTTGGGAGTTGAGGATTTGGATAGAAAAGAAAGAAAAAGGAGAGAATGTTTAGTTTTTCTTTGTTTTTTAGTTTTTAGTAAGAAAGAAAAGAAAGGAAATGGGAAGATTCAAAATGATGAATAGTAGGTAAAACTTTTTCTCCTAAATTGGACCAAAATGGAGAGAAATTTTGAGGAAGCTTGTCAAATTTTTTTAAAATGCCTATTTTTTCTTAAAAATGTTTTGAATAAATATTTAATGATTTTCATATCTAAAATCATTTCACTAATTCTCAAAACTGCCAAACAATATAAATAATCGCTTATCTTTTCTTCTATTCTCTCATAATTTAAGTTTCCCTTATTTTTTTTTATTTTCTATCTAAGCTTCCAAAGTAAAACCTTGTTTAATAATTCAATTCAACACTTAAATTTAATGGATTCAAATTTTAACATATTTAGACTATTTGATAACAAAAAATTGAATATCTAAATTAATTAGAGCGAATTGCGCGAAATGTCACTAAACTATTTCAAAGTGCCGGTTCTGGTCACTAAACTTTTTTATTAGCGCGAAATGTCACTGAACTAGTAAATCTGTACCGTTTTGGTCACTCCGTGTATTTGTGCTGTCAGGAGAGACGGAAATCAACTTTTTGAGGGGCAAATTCGTCTGCACAGTCTCTTCTGTTGGTTATTTAATATAGTGAGAAAATTTAAATTCTTTTTTCCCAATTTATGATTTGGGTGCAATTCTCTTTGTTTTCCTTACTCTTGATATATTTTAACCATCCAGCTTGAAGATCTTGGCCTTAGTAGCAGCTTTTTTCCTTTTATAGTTGCTGAAAAGGATGTTTGCTCTGAGATCCGTATGCTTGAAAGTGAAATGGAATTACCTGAGACAGATTGTCTTGGTGTGAAAACCGAAAGTAGAAAATTGGCCATGGATTTTATACATGAATTTGGTTGGCTTCTCCATAGAAGTCAGTTGAAGTCTAAACTAGGGCACTGAGATCAAAATTCTCATCCATTTGCTTTCACACGATTCAAGTGGATTATACAGTTCTCAGCAGACCATGGTTGGTGTGCTGTCGTGAAGAAACTCCTAGATCTTCTTCTTGATGGTAATATAGGTGCAAGAGAGCAGCCTTTGTTAAGGTCTGCAATGTTTGAGATGGGTCTCCTTCACAGAACAGTGAGAAGAAATTCCAGGCCTTTGGTGGAGCTACTATCAAGATATGTCCCAGAGAGAATAGCAAATGAACTGAGTTTGGAATACGCTTCTCTGGTTGGTAGTGAAGGAAGCCCGTTGTTTAGACCTGATGCAGTGGGTCCAGCAGGATCCTGAGTCAAACGAAACCTTGACGCTTTTAGCCCGATTTTTGTCCAAAGCCAAGTCCAAAAGCACAATCCCAGTTCCGCCAAGAACAAACATGAACCCAGAGGAGAGCCCTTCGATAATATACTGCCCATTGACCCGACCCGGGAGGAAAACAACAGGTCTAACTGATCCGGTACGAGGATCCTGAGTAGATCCGATGCCCGGAGGTTCAACGATGACATCGTAGACGAGCCCTGACACGACGAGGAAGTAGGTGAGGAGGATCAAGGCGTAGATGGTCATGGCGGATGGAAGAGTGAAGGATGGGAGCTTTAGACGTAGACGAGGAGGGCGGAGGAAGAAGTAGGGAAGGATTTTGAGGACGTGGAAGAATGGGTCGATGGCGGATGCAATAGGATCCTGCCGGGTTCAAGCACTCACCTATCTGTTTCCCAAATTTTCTTACGAAAGTAAGAAATATTATGAGCGCTACTTGGCAGCGTCAATTAAAGAAATATTACACTGATTGAACTTTGGTTTTTATTTAATATTATGCGTGATGTAAAGGTGGCAGTTGAAGCATGGAAAAATGCTCGTGACAACAATGGTTTTTGACTGTGCAGACGAATTTGCCCCTCAAAAAGTTGATTTCCGTCTCTCCTGACGGCACAAATACACGGAGTGACCAAAACGGTACAGATTTACTAGTTCAGTGACATTTCGCGCTAATAAAAAAGTTTAGTGACCAGAACCGGCACTTTGAAATAGTTTAGTGACATTTTGCGCAATTCGCTCAATTAATTAAGTGGCACTATATTTTCTAGATAAAACTTGCTCCTAAAATTAAGTAATAAACTATTCACTTATCACTGAATATGATATGCATCCAAATATATTAAATTTTATAATTAATAATTCAATAATTTAATGAATTTAAATTTCGAATTTTGTATTTTAATTTTTAGGTTTCAATTTTATCAAACACGCCCTAAGCCAACATGTCCGAACAAATTGAAAGGATGAAATGGTAATTACGGGACCACACCAGACGAGCCGTGCTGCTGAGACACGGACGACCCCACTCCTTTTATTTATTTATTTATTTTTTCCCTCTTTGGCGTATCAAAAGAAAAATTCCATCTAGGAGTGGCGGTAATGGCCGACGGCGGCGGATGGCGGAGGTGGACAACTGCCTGCTGATTACCGAGTTGGTGAGGTGAGAATTCCATTTCAAAAGCCACCCCTGCTGCCCACCATCTTTATTTTTTATTTTGTACTTTTTCCCTTCTTTCACGAGACTGCAAAAGTGAAGCATGTTTTTCCCATTATTAGTTGAGGAGTACCAATTAGTGTAGTAGTAGAATAGTATTAGCAAGTTTCTGCATCATCATTTAAGTTCACTGCTACAAGAATAGCAGCAATAGCTACAGTCATCAGTCTTCGAACTCAGCATTATATAAGTATGATATTGTGAAATTCACGTTTATCTGGAAAGACTTGGAAGACATCGATCATTTTTCTTATTACATTCAAGTTAATTATCGGGTTAGGGTTGAGTTAATTTATGAGCCATAGGCCTCACTCCATCCATTACAAGCAGATCAGAATAGTGCTCCTGTGGTGGTGTGGTAGAGAAGTTACAATAAAATAAAAGAAAGGAAACACGAGACTTGTAACCACCGGAGTCAAATAGCTAGTTAAACTTATTGTGCAGTTTGTGTTTATATATATATATATGTGTGTGGTGGTGGTGTGTATTTATTTGTTCGTCTTTCCATTTTAATGAATCTCAGCATACAACTGGCTTTGCTGCAACTTTCTTCCTGCATGCTGTTAATGCCTGCGTGTGATTTATGAGCTTTGTATGTGCTTCCGTTCCAAGACAGATGCTGTGACCACATCTTACTTTCCCATTCAGATCTCGTTCTATTAGCTCAGGATGCTAATTGTTGTCTGTACCAAAAATTTGCTAGTCAGTGGATCCTTTCAATTCGAAGTCACGGTGTAAAAAATTTTCAGCTTCTGCATGCAGGCAAAATATGTCGCCTCATCTTTCTTGTTTCTCTCAGCATTGATGGACTAATGCTTAAAATATATGCCTTTATCCTGGCAATGCTTTGCAGTTTTTGTCCAATAAACAATTTTGCCCCTCTCTTCTGAATTCTCCCACTTTAGATTTTGCGTTTAACTCTCACAGAAATGGAGGAACTATATCTGGGGGTTTGATCTGATACTCTTTTATACGAGGGAGTAAGCCAGCAGGGGTAGCTTCAATAGCCCTCCTAGCCTTTAAACCTTTCTTCTACTCTGTTGGCAAATGATGGTTCAGAAAGCATGTGAAGTTCCATTTACTAAGGATGCTTGTTTCCTCCAAGGCCGAAACCTTGGTTGTTAACTCCTTTTGAATTCTGATACTAGTTTCCCAATCATTACTTCTACGTCTGCATGCTCCCACAGCTACTGTTGTGCAAATACGTGTTGTCCGCAAAGGTTTTACCCAATGTTGGAACTTATGGTATAAAAGAATCCTGGAAGCTTGTCATCTACTGTTCCAGTGGGCTAGAAAATGTTGATAAGCTACATACACTGCATGACAAGTTGGGATGGGAAGAAGGTTAGCCTTTTCTGGTTTAGTTCTTGTCTAAACTCTTGGTTTCTGATTTAAAGTGTATAGTCTTCTTCCTTTCAGGCCCATTTTAATTGCTTTATGAGTCTTGTACTTGCAATGAGCTCTTCCAGGAACTTTGCTGCTTCTAGATCTGCTTCTCTGTTATATTGTTTTTCATAATCGTTGAGAGCTAATTTCTTATTCATTTCACAACAGTACATGAAATGGCAAATGATTGAAGCAAAAGAGGTTCAGTCAACTAATCTAGTTACTAACTAGAAGCTCTGGCTTCCCAGGAAGTATATTGCATTGGATATTTCCAAAACGACACATATTTCTCAGCGCTGGTCAAACTTCTGCTTATGCTCATCTGCTTGTGGTGCCATGGCCTCCCCTTTACAAATGTTGCTTTTGCTCCATCTTCTGATGGAGTAGAAAATTTTGCTTGCAAGGATAAACTTTCAGGCTATATATTCATGTGCAATGGAAAAACAAAAGCTGATTGCTACAGGTATAGAGTTTTCGGGCTTCCTGCAGCTAGATTGAATGTTGTTAAGAAAATCAGACCCTGCATGACGTTGTTCTTGTTTGACTTTGAGTTGAAACTTCTTTATGGTGTTTACTGTGCAACTTCTAATGGAGGACTTGGAATTGAGCCAACTGCTTTCCAAGGGAAATTTTTAGCACAGGTACAAATTTATCGTTTTCTTTCTTTCTATTCCTTTTGCCTCACAGGCTAGATCCATTCAAATGTTGAAACTTAAGAGATTGTAGAACTACTTGTCCTAAGACTGCAGCTTTTACCTGTCGTCTTAGTCTGCTGATATTTTTTAACAAGGACTTCAATGGGAGCACCTACATTTTTTTTTGGTAATCTCCCACCCCTCCCCACACCCTTTGCACCCCCAATTGCTAGGCCCAGGATTCAAACCCTGAACCTAACAGTGGGTAGAACTCTAAGAGCCCTCCCCTGGTCACTGGACCAACGCCTGTGGTTCAATGGAAGCACCTACTAGTTGTTCTCTTTCCCATGATCTTTATTTATTGTATTAACCAGGTGTTGAACGTTTCAAGTTGAACCTTTTCAGGATTAGTTCATCTAAAATCTAGCCGCCTTTCAAGGCAGTTTTGTTTGGTTTATGCTTTCATTTCTAATCAAGTTTGTGTAGGCCTCTTAATCCATGGACTTATCTACTTGTTTTGTTTTTCAATAGGTAAGGTTTGAGATATTCAAGGATTGCTTGCCTTTGCCTGAGAGTGCCTTTAAGCATGTTATTAAAGATAACTACAATGCATCCATTCAATTCAAACAAGAGCTGAGTAATGAACAGGTGGTGTTGTATTTACATTGTTTATTTCCTTTATTTTTTAGGGCATTTGTTTCCACTGCTCGCTTATCAATTAATGCTTTGCAGGTGACTAATCTGATGTCATTGTTTCGTCCAATACTGACAATTCCAGTACCATTTTCAAATATATTGCCTGAAGCTGAAGTTTCTGCTTCATATGATCGATATGTAGTAAAACGGATACTTAATCGTTCAGGACAGCCAAGCAATTATCATTGTAGTCAGCCTGCTCACCACCCATGTAGCGAAAATGACATTTCTGTGATTGCGAACGATACATATGCTTTCCCGTTTGATGCTATTTCAGCTACTGACGCTTCAGTACCAGCATATGCTCAAGTTCCGTCACATGTTTCTGGACCTTCATATGGAAATGCTTATGCATCATCATCATCAGGAGCTGCTGCTTACTGGACAACTGAGGCTTCTCAAAGCCTTTATCAGGTAAATTCAGCTGCTAATCAGATGTGGTAGTGGATATGCTTGTCAAGCTGCTTCTGTCACTAAAGAAATGTTAAAAGCCTATGGTCAAGTGTCTTACCAGGTACCAGCATCACTGTACGAGGCAGTATATCGTCCTACTTCAAATGAAACCTTAGCTTCTTGGATGGCAACTACAGCAGCACCTAACAAACTAAATTAAGTCCTTGCTTATTCTTCTTACATGTTGTGTAGTTGAGCAATTATATACATGCTTTTGGTGTTGTTTTTAATGCCGTGCAAGCACTCACTACAGGCCAAGTAGGTGAACTGGAGCAGAATTTACAGTCTATAGGTGTTGCAAGTCGTATGTGCCTGCCCAATACTTTAAAGATTCAAGTTTGAGCTACATAGAAACACAAGTGATTGAATCTGTTTACACTAGTGGGGCCATTTGGTTACCATAATTTGCAATATATATATATATATATATATATATATTATATATATATATATATATATATATTCAGCTTGAATCATGTACATATTTTTAACTATCTTTTTATTTCACTTATATCCATCACATAAAGTGCTACAGTGTTATTCCAAATAATCCCCTATCCAAACTGTTTTTTATATAGTGCATCTTTCTTTGTTTCTTTTCTTGTTGGCTTTTAAGCCTTGGCACTATTTTGGTAGATTTTTGGCACTCCCGCCAATGGCTTGGGGCAAGACCTTACAGATGAAGAGCGTGAGTTTAAATTGTGCATTAGGTGAAAATGATGACTCTGGAGCAGAGAAGAATTTAAGTGGCCCGACAGAATTAAGCGGAGCATAACGAAGTCGGGGACCTCTTTCAGTTTAACCAGGAAATCGCGATGGAAGAATGTGCTTGATTCGTAGGACAGGATATTATTTAACCATTATGAGAGTTTTTTTACCTTATTTTGTAGTTCAGGGAAGATCCCAAATCTTATTATGGCAAAAGAGAAAAGTGAGAGCTTTGGAATCGCTAGAGATGTCATTGAGCATGTAATCACCTGATTAATGTCTCCATTGAGTATGTTGTCTTGACTCTCTTGTTGACCGGACAACTTAATTCGTCATTGCTTAAGATGGATTTTGTAGTAGGATAAACTGATTGGGATCAAGCATAATAACAGTAATTGAGTATGTAGTATTTACAGATAAAAGTTTTTAGTCATTAGGGAAAAATCAACATACTCAATGGAATATCCAGTTACTTGAAAAAAGGGTCTCAATGGAATATGGTTGTGAATGAACATGGGAAAAATTTCAAATTTTGGTTCAAGATGAAGAGCACTAAAAGGAAGATGGGTTTTTGTGGCATAGTACTATTTTTTAAATAGTCATATAAAACATCTCTAATATCTTAACTAAAGCAATCATGGATCTTTGCTGGTTTCTGACTTGCGAGGCCTCTCCTTTTTCCCTTTTGCTGCACAATCTCCTTTGAACCCAAAACAGCCATATATACAAGTCTTTGCAGCATATAAAGAAGCTAAAAGCTTTTACTTTAAAAAAAAATGAAGAAGAAGAAGAAGCTAAAAGAGCCTTGTACCATTTGGTCGAGCGTTTCTAGACCATCCGTCCACACATCACACCAATGATCGAATAGGTGATTGCTTGTCAAGGAAGTTCATTCAATCTAAGTTTAGATGAGGGGACATAGTCCGAATTGTATGATACTCTGGACACTTTACAGCGTAATAAGGGACCATTTACAACCATGAATCTGGTCATTTGATTACAGTACGCAAAGACAAAAACAGCCAAATACAATCCTATAATTATATATTCCAGAGATCTATCAATTGACTTGCTTGCAGTATAAAAATAGTGGAAGGTCATAAAGACAAAGAAACTGAAAAAGGTTCACTAGTTATCATTCAGCAGAGGTTTCCTCGTTTTGTTGATCGCTACCCAGTTCGTAGGTCCCAAATCCCAGTTTCATAATTGACTGATGCTGGTGTGCCTCTGGCCGGGGAAACAACAGCTTGAGCCGGAAAGCATCAACTCCGTTCAAATAATACCGGAAAAGCCTCTTTGCCCTGATGAAACCAAGACGGCCATATAGAGCCAGTGCTCCTTTATTTGTAACTTCTGCTTCCAAGGTCACCTTCAAAAGATTGCGAGCAAGTATGAGCCACAAATGCAATGCCACATCCATTCATGTAAAAAATACTAGGTTATCAATCAGGGGAAAAAAATGTGTTTCTGGGAATCATCAAAATAAATCAACCACTACGCCCAAAAAATTTTTTTTTTAGGTTTTTAGGAAGAGGAGGGGGGGGGGTGGGGAAGAAAAAATTTACAAAAGATGTAAAAGCCCTAGGCTCTAATTAGAAACATACAACAATGATTAAGCCATTAGGAGTTTCCTCTAAAACTAAATACTTCCTGTGAAATGGAAGTTCTTCACCCCTTACCCTAGCCCAGCCAAAAGAAAAACAGACATAAAGGAACACTAGAATCACTCTGTCCAGTACTCTAAAAAATTTCTAGCCACAAAAAAAAAAAAAAAAAAAAAAAAAAACCTCTCTTCCACTTTTCACCCAAAATGCTAATGGTCATTTTCTGCCAAAATCAACAACCAAAATGCAAACAGATATTTCATTGATATCAGATCAGCTGCTAATCTAAACGGGTGCATGACATCTGTTCAAGATATATCCAATGCTTGACTTGTCCTAAACCAAGTCAACAAAGCAAAGAAACCTCCTAGTCAACAAAGAAAAGGAACCTGTCAAAGATGCTTTGCATATCCAATAGTGTTGACAACCATGTCTAGATGACCAATTAGTCCGTTTAAAAACAGAAAAAGGAAAATTATATCAGGAAACCAATGACAGTTCTCCCTCTCTCTCTCTCTCTCTCTCTATTTGGGATAAGCTCAACAATTGAATAAATAAGACAACTTCCTCGTGCCATCCAAAGCTAGTAGTTGCCAAAAGCTATCAGAACTACTGGTGTAATGTGTGTGTGTATATATATGTGCGTACGTGAGGGAAAGCATGCAGTAACGAAAGAAGGGTATATTAATCAAAGACAGAGTCGAGTATGGTTATGATTCTTTAATTGCAGTATAAAAGGTTACCATGAGCCCCAACTAATCTAGCCTCAGTCAAATACTAGAGGTTTGATAAGTGGCATGATTAACAAGCACCATGCAGCTAAAAATCACCCCCTTTCCCTCCCAAGACGCCAAAAGGTGGATCGCTAGATTAATACATTCCTGGTACCATAAGCTTTGTACTTGCTGGGGAGAATTTACTGAGAATCCCAGACTGAAGCTGAAAGTTTTCCACTACTAAAGTGATCTCCCAGTTATATTCCCTACAGTTCCCTTTTGTTTTTATTTTCCAACAATACAATTTCCTTTGCGCTGCAAAGAAGAGTAGAAAGCCATAATGCATTAGCGAAGGCAAAAAAGAAAAAGAAAAAAAAAGCAAATTCCAAATGCAGCAGGACCAGTGACATACCTCTTCGCACCCTGAATCCATCATTACTCTAATGGATCGAGTAACAAGCTCTGTAGCTGCAATATGAAAGTATCTTTAGTTTTGCAGGCAAGTAAAAGGTGCTGTTCCAAGTGATATTGAAGTAGCAGAATAAAAACACTGATTCACATGTGCAACCAATCACATCACTAAGCAACTTTTAAGCAGATAATAGTGATGTGCCATACTATTTCTATCGTTGACTAAAAATGGTCAGGAGTAGGGAGTTGAGATATGCTTGTGACAGCTCAATGAAATGTAAGGTGCAACTAAATCAAGTTCAGTTCATCCCAGATTTAGGGACCTGCAAAGGGGGTTTGGCGGGAAGGGAATGGTAAGGAGAGTAAGTAAAACTGAAGGCTGGAAAAGTTGGGGTTCATGAAGTTGTACGTGTTCATGATTAGCAGCTCTGAACTCTTAAGTGCTTTAGTCATTTATTAGACGAACGGCCAAACTGCTGACAAGCAACTTAACAAAGTAAGAGATGCAAACGGTTAAGAGAATCAACCAAAGACTCTAGATCATGCCAAATAATGCGTTTCCAGCAAGAGAGGGAAACATAGAATTGCAGGTGGTGAGCAGAGAAGATGAAGTAAAGAAAAAGAAAAAGGGGGGGGGCGCTTACCGATGCCTCTGCCCCTGTAAGGCTTAAGTACAACAAGCATAGCAATGTAGCCTCTCAAAGTATTCCGGTGCTCTCCCATTTTGCACACCACAGTCCCCACACATTTACCATCATGGAAGGCCTACTAACCAATTATAAGCACCCAATTACCAGGTTTGTGCTGCCGGCTCTTTGATAATTACGGGTAACAATATCCATATTGATTAACATAAGGAAACGGTAGAGAGATGAAGGGAAAACATTATATATTTCAGAGAAAAATAAATAAAAGGGAGAGAGAGAACGATACGAACTAGAAAGGAGAGTTGGGGCCAGAGATAGACGAAGTAGTAGCGATAAGTGAAGATGGAGTAGGGTTCACTGAGTTCTTGGTCAACAAGATTCATGATAAGCGGCAGGTGATGTTCTCCGCCGTAGCTCACATATTCTATTTCCGAACCCTCCTGCAGCCCCTCCGCCTCTTCTTTTTTGTCTTCTTGATTTGTATTTTTCTTGTTGGACTCCATTCAATGACCGGGTGTCCGAATACAACAGCTCAGGACAAAGGAATAACAACACAGATGCAAATATACACCCAAATGAAGGACCTAATCATAAAACAAAACTAGCACAAGTAGGATATGATTCCAAGAAAACAGGCAATGAAAGGATTCAAGAAGGTGCTTTGATTCTTGAACCTGTGGCTGTGGTGGGAAAGGAGAACTGAGCTGCAGTTGCCGATCCCTCTTTTATTTTTGAAGATCAAATTCTCCTATTCCACTCCACTTCACTCCAGTCACCACTTCTTCTTCTTCCCAAGCACAAGAGGGTTTAGGGTTGTGGGGGGATTCCTAGGAATTGAGAGGAGAAACCGGGATTGGTAAGGGACCACAGGGATTTGTGTATTAAAAAAAAAATTGAAAGACGATTTATTACTGCCCAGTAAACACAAAATTGAACACGTCGCAAAAAAGGTTTGGCTGGACCACCCACTGGTTTTTTTTTTTTTTTTTTTGTCTGCAACAGTAGATGCACTGTAACCTAAACTAGCCTACTCTAGGGGAAAGGGGCAAGGGAGATGATCAACTAAGACCAGCCACATATTGTGACAAATTTGAGGAAGGTAGGGTCGCAAAAAAGGTTTGGCTGGACCACCCACTGGTTTTTTTTTTTTTTTTTTTGTCTGCAACAATAGATGCACTATAACCTAAACTAGCCTACTCTAGGGGAAAGGGGCAAGGAGCTGGTCAACTAAAACCAGCCACATATTGTGACAAATTTGAGGAAGACAGGGTTTGAACCCCGGGAGATGGTCAACTAAGACCAGTCACATATTATAACAAATTTGAGGGAGGCAGGGTTTGAACCCCTGATCTCCAGCACCACCAAAGAGGGTGATGACCACTAGATCAAATGGACCACCCACTGGTTACTCCTACCAAAAAGAAAGAGGAGGAAAAAGTAGTAAATCTACGTATAAGGGGTATGATGAAATTATAATCTCCTACCATGGAAAACTGGAAAAGGTGTGAAATTGTGAGAAAGGTTGTTGGAAAAAAAATATTTTGTATATATGTCCCATTGAATTGCTACTTTCTCAAATTTTTATTAAAAAAATATACTTTAGCGATTTGATATATATAAAGTAAAAATTAATTGAGAAATATACTCACGTAAAAATTTTTTTGTCGAATATTATAAGAAAAAATCGTTCAAAATGTTCATCAAATAAATTTTTTGTCCTTCATTTTTAAAATAATAACATTACATTCCTAACAAAATCAAGTCAGTAAAACTTAATTCCAATCCAAGTTTTCCACCATTTTTCCTTAAATCTATTATATGATCCGTACATAATCATTTTTATAGAAGTAAACAAGTTAGATCCCACGTACAATTAAACAGATGATGCGCTATACCTTCATTTTTATCCTTAAAAATATAGGATCTAATATGAATTATATTCATTTTCCCCCAAAAAATATGAGATATGACCCAATCCACATTCATTTGCCAGTGGGAAAAGTGTTGTCTGACCTTTTTATACATTATGAAACAATTGTAAGTACGAGAGTCACGTGGTGATTTTGGACTAAAAAATGGACAAGTAGGATTGTTCGGATAATGATTTTCCCAAAAAAAAAATTTATATTTTTCGTTGGCACATTTTCTAATCAAATTTTTACCTCACATACATCAAATATATTTTACTACAAAAATTTCTAAAAATAGCAATTCAAACAAAGTTACATGGTGATTTTGGACTGAAAAATGGTCGAGTAACCTTGTTCGGATAATGATTTTTCCCAAAAAAAATTTTATATTTTTCGTGGGCACATTTTCTAATCAATTTTTTACCTTACATACATCAAATATATTTTTCTACAAAAATTTCTAAAAATAGCAATTCAAACAATTAGAATTGAGACTAAATTTTATTAATTTAAATTTATAAGAAATGTAAAATTAATATACTATTTTAAAAACAAATGACAAAAAAAAATCATCTACTATTCCACTGAATAAAGGTCGAGTAGTCGTCCGTAAATTTATGAGGTGTAGGCAGAAGCAGAAAGATGGTGTAGGCCAGGCCAGCGTTGCGTTTGTGAATTATGAAGAATGTTCCAATTTATTTGGCAGCGGTGAGCGGAAGACTAGCCCAGCCGGTAGTAGTACTATTATTATATTAGTAGTAGTAAGAAGAAAGGGTCACTATTTATTTTTTTTTTAAATTCACAATATAATTGTCGGTGCTGATTACTGCCACAGAAAGGTACTCTGCTGCATCAAACAACAACCAATAACGATTATTAACAACCCACGAGTCGACATGCTGCGAATTGGGAGTCGGAGGTTGTCGTCGTCGTCGTCCTCCTCCTCCTCCTGGTTATGGAGGCCAACCCAAGCGGCCGCCCATCCCCTACCTTCCTCCACCAAGGACAACAACCGCCCAGCAGTCCCCCTTCCAGACCACTTTACCTCCAAGTCCAATCCCTTTTTCTCTGCTCCTACTTTCACTCTTCATCCCCGTTTTCACCTTCCACCACCAGCAAGAGGTACCTTTCTCTCTTTTACCTCGCCCTCCCCTTCGCCCCCCCGCTCCCGGGGGGGCTGTTTTTTGTTCACTTCTATTTCTTGTGCAATTTTGGATTTGTCCATCCGATTCATTTTTTTTTTCTTTTCCTCCTATGCTCAATGCCTCCCTTCCTAGCTTTAATTTAATTATCTGCATCTTTATTGTTCTTTCACTTCCTCATCTTTGATTGCAAGAATTCCTTCTTCTTCTTGTTCTTTTAAACATGTGTTCATTTATTTATTTTCTCTACTTCTGGCTGCTGTAAGTAGCAAGTGGCTGCTGTAGTAGGAAATCCTTAATCCTGCTTTTATTCTTCTTCTACTTTTTCTTTGGTGTCTTTGCTGGTGCATTTTCGTCTGATTCCTCCTCAGGTTTGATGCCTTCTTGCTTATTTTCTTCTCCCCTTCCGTGTTTCTGTTGTCGTCACTACCTTTTGAGTGAAACTTAAAATGAGTTTGCCAAAAGGGAAATGATTTGAGATGACATGAATGAAAATACATACAATTTGCTCCAAGTGGTTCAAAATTTAGTCCACTAACCAAACACAAAACGAGGAAGGTGATGTTTACATTTGATTTGCTACAAAACATCAGCTGAAATATCTCCGAGGTTCTTGTACTATTCACTGTCTCCCACTTCATGGGGACACATTTATCTCCTTGTTAAAGGATGATCTTGGCAACGTAATCATCATAAGCTAGAAACATACTCTTGTCACAACACTTCTATGCACTTAAGCACAGTGGAGGTGCCAACATCCATTCTTAATTTGCATGCTTCTCCCTTCTAGAGCTTGAGACTTTGTTTCTTCTTCTTCTTCTTGTTTTCAATCGAAATACAAGTGATTACTGAATAAAAGTCCGGAGGAGGTTCATGCCCAGGTTTATTTGCACCGTGACCAGGAATTTTGATATCTTCAAATTTTCGAGTAGGTGTTTCAGAGCAGCAAGTTTTCACTTTTCGTAGTCTGATTAGAATTAGATGGTGTTCTTGGTCTTAGTTTTGGTCTGGAAGCAACTTTTTGCAAGTTTATTAAGCGGACTTATCATTTACAGTCAATCTGCTTTATTGTAACTCCAGGAATGGATCATCAAAGTGATTTCTAATTGTCCATTATGATATGTTGTGTATCTAATTGGCAAATGGTGACCGTTGTAGGCTTCGCTTCCGAGTCCCTCACCCCTAAGAGTGAAAAAAACCTGATGCCTGAAGTTCCAGCAACAGTGGCTGCTATCAAGAATCCATCACCAAAGATAGTTTATGATGAGTACAATCATGAGCGCTACACCCCAGGTGACCCCAGCAAACGGGCCTTTGCCTATTTTGTCTTAACTGGTGGTAGATTTGTATATGCCTCCCTCATCCGCCTCCTTATTCTCAAGTTTGTCCTCAGCATGTCAGCCACTAAGGATGTTCTTGCACTGGCTTCCCTTGAGGTTGATCTCTCTAGCATTGAGCCTACCACTGTTACTGTGAAGTGGCGTGGAAAACCAGTATTTATCAGGCGCAGAACTGAGGAGGATATCAAACTGGCTAATAGTGTTGACGTGCAATCCCTTCGTGACCCGCAGGAAGACTCTGAGAGGACTAAAGATCCAGAATGGCTTGTTGTCATTGGCGTCTGCACTCATCTGGGTTGTATCCCTCTACCAAATGCCGGTGATTTCGGTGGCTGGTTTTGCCCTTGTCATGGTTCCCACTATGACATCTCTGGTAGGATTAGGAAAGGCCCAGCTCCCTACAACCTGGAAGTACCTACTTATACCTTTTTGGATGAGAAAAATTTATTGATTGGTTGAGAACTCGGAAAAAGAGTGATATTTCAGGTATCAAAGATACAAATCCACATCAAGTTTCTGTGATGGGTGTTGCTGATAGTTTATGTTTTCAACCCTCTTCTCTTGGGCATGTTTAGGATTTTTTTTTGGTATTTTTGATCCTTTTTTATGTTGGACCTGCTCAGCTTCAATAAGCCGTGTTTCCTAATACTCCTGCGTCATGTAACGCGCCAGTTAGTGTGAGATGATTGAAAAGTCGGAGTTTGTTCCTGTTTGCTGTCAAGTTCGCATTCCTGTTTTTTCTTATACAAGATGTTTAATCCGGTTGCATTCGTGCAATTTCTTAATTGCGGCACAGATTTTGACTAATTGGTCTGTTATTAAACTGTCCAAACACATGAACAAGCGTCTCTTTCCAGTATGAAAAATGTTTTTTTTTTAGTTCTGCAGAATGGAGCTTGCGGACGTCATATTTATGTGAAAATCGGGATCCCATCTTTGCCTTATGTGTCAACGGCATTTTTTTGTGACACAATGAAGCTCTCATGGGGAACATGTTGAAACTTGTGGGTGTATAATGAGCTTTCATGGGGGAGTAAATCGAAGTAGGAATGTTGTTCAAATTGCCTTGACCAGTTTGTGAACAAAAGAAGACCATGTTTTGGAGATTTTTATTCACCAAGCTAATCTCATCTCTCAAAGATACCTTTGACATAAATCATTCCCTTCTCCGTCAGCTGAAGCTCCCTTCTCATTCGGTCTACTTGTTGGTCGTCACCTTGAACAATGATCTCTGAAAGGCTTCCATTCTCTGCTACTATCATTTTGACTTTTATCTGTTCCTTCCTGGATGCCCTTGTCCAGTAGTATGCGCCTCTGTTTAATTACGAGTTTATTAGATGCTCAAAGTTTGAATACAGAGTTTAAGAATGCAAAGATTACACTTTGGGGGAAGAAAGATGTGGTGAAATAGCAGGAAGGCTGCAATAGAATGCTTACGCTAGGGGGCTTAATGTGGTCAGCCAGAACCAGTTATTGCCTGCGTCTGGAACAGTTATGGTAAGAACGAGGGCAACACTGGCCAGACTTATGCAGGTGCAGAAAGTGAGTAGTGCTGCCTGGCTTCGACTTGGAACCATCATCCCTTCAAACCTTCACCAGTGATAGGAAGAAGAGTTGGAACCTCAAAAATGCACATGTAGAAACTAGTTGAGACAGCTTGAAAGCAGGAAGGACAAGAAGCAATTAACCAAGATGATTTCTAGCCAAGATATTGTCACTGGCTTTTGCTTGCTAACTTACGTAATAGTCTCTCCTCTCTCCAACACCACGAAATTGTTGCGAGCAAAGAAGGACAGAATTGCTCCAGCCACCTGATTGGGCATCAGATTCCCCTCCCCATCTGACACTGCAGTAAATGTCTTCTGAACGATCTAAATTGACCAAAGAGAAAGAACAATCACGCCATCAGCTAGCTAGCTACGCACTCTTAACTGCGACCAAATTGTAGTCAAACACTTACCAGGAAACTGGCTCCTATAACATTTATTCACGAAATGCTAGTAGTACTAAAAATCAACGAAGGGAGCAGGGAGAAAGGTGAGAAACAAAACCAAACAGTGCTGGTGGAAGTATCCATGCTCAGCCAAAGGTGAACCCTGTCGACTGTATCCCTTTTCTCCTCCTCCCAATCCATATATTATACATGTATGTAGTATGTTACTTTGCTGTTTTTAACAACTTTAGCATTAACCAATTAGTTAATACGATATGTAAACAACTCAGACACATAGGTGAAGGTGAGGCTATATGAAGATGGGTCAATGAGGAGTAGTTGCTCCTACCAATCTAAGTACTGTGAAATTACGGTATTCAAAGTTAGCTAGCTAGTTCATGTGCAGCTGCAGCTGCAATTAGGGGAGGAGAATACGTACACAGTAGTATATACTGTATGTGTATGTATTAGAACTTAGAAGAAGAGAACACTAGGTAGAAGGTCAGTCTAAAAAACAGAGGCAGTATTCATTATTTACCTTGGATTTGACAGAGCGCTTGATAAGGGACCAAAGGCCGGGAACGGAGATGACAAACAGTCCCAGGGAAGTGTAGTAGCTGGCTTGTGAATAGCCGCCGCCCACGAAGCTGTCGGCGAGGAAGAAGTGTATCGTCATCAGGGGAGGAGAATTCGGATGCTGGAGTCCAAGATGATACGCTGCTAAAGCTACAGGTACTACTGAAGACGATAGAGTTTCGTGAAGCGATGACCGTACTGGAAGAAGAGCTCTGCAGGCAGGGGGATGTGGGTGAAGAAGCCACAGTCGTCGTCTCCCATGAGAACGACGACAAAATCGTCTGGTATTGGGGCGGTAATATTCTTGTATGGCACTTGCTGCTGATGAGTGTAATCTTCGGCCTGCAACAACTATGTCTGCGGCTGCGCTGGTGGTTTTGATTAACCGATTATTATTAGTATTGCGAGGGCGAGAGAGACAAGGAGGAGAGAGCAGCAGAAGCTTCGCTGCCATTTTTTGGCTTCTGTGGTGACTGGTGACGCCAGGACACCCAACACCGCATCACATCCATCCATCTACTCTCCTAGTCCTGGCTGGTGCTCTAGTTTTCACCTTAATTTAGGCAAATTTGCCCGATCACATCTTTTATTCCCACCTGCGGCGCCAAAATTTATCCCATTCTCTGTTTTCTACCCACGTACTTTCATCATTTCATGCGCCTCCAAACCAAACTTCCTTTTTTTTAATTTTTTTAAACATGCCTCGTGACATTTTTCCCTTTGGTTGTTAATTGATCACCATTGATTTACAAGCTTATACAATTGCCTCCGGGTTTTTTTTTTTTTTGGGGGGGAGGCGAGGGTGGGAGGTCTATCTCTATACCATAATTGCGTGATGAGATGATTAATTATCGAAAAAGCAATTATTTAAGGTATGATTGATATCCGATCACGATTATGTAATTTTTTTTTATAGAACTTTGAATTTTTTTTCCCAATTTCACTTCCCAATCTTAATTCCTCTTTTGTGTATAATTTTTCATTTAAATTATTTTGTGTATTTGTAAATTAAACTCTCGCCAATACCTATAAAGGTCAATACAAAATCCAATTCGATGCTTTCTATTTTCTAATTCTTTAATTTAAGGAAAACATTACTTGAACAACATAAAAATCAAAAAATTAATTTTAATATTTCAAATAAAATTTTTAAATAAATTTTCAAACAAAGCTATTAATCAATTTTGAATAATGGTAGTGTGACGGGACCTCTAATGCCCCAAAAACTAATATATTAGTGTGTTTTCATCACCAAAAATACTTAATTTTTAGGGTTAATTGCATCCACCTCCCTAGTGTTTTAACCAAGTTATCGCTAGATCCCTGAGGTTTAGAATATTACATTCCGCCCTTTTACCTAACAAATTTCAAATGGTGTTAAATATTTACCTGTAATTACTAGGGTACCCTGTGTCAATCTAGATTAAAGTAGAAAATGAAACAAAGGAGTAGTCAAAAATAGAAATGAAACAAATGAGTGTGAGTGATACTGGCTACCTACTATTACTTTTACCGCAACCAACAGCAAATATTTGTTGCTGGCAAAATTACTTAGAGCTAGGAGAGACGAAAAGGAACAAAAAATAATTGATGATTATTTTTTCAAAGAATTGGAAGCGCACTTGCGAGACTCTTAACTTTACAGAATCTCCTAAACTGGCTCGCTGACCATTTCAACCATCCAAGCCTCTCCCAATTGCTTCCCACAGTAACAATAACAAGGAAAAAAACTAATCTACCTGCTTAAGAAACCTGCATTTAACTGTATACTGAACTATCCAATATGGAAAATGAATTGCCTTACACCCCATTAGCGATTAGGCTCCGCATTTGATAGCACTATTAATTTCTATGTATTTGCAAATTTGAGTAAGTTGGGCTTCTTATGCTTTTATATTGATTGAAAGAGCCTTACATGTCACATGTTTTCATGAAGATTTAACAAGAAGTGCCATTGTGATTAAGGAAAACTTTGAGAGAATAAGGGAAGAAAAAGTGAATGAGTTGGTTATGGAATTAGTGGATTTGAACTATTAGTCTACATGGTTTTGGCCTATTTGGATGGAAATTGTGAAATCAAATCTAGATGCATGGTTGTGATTAATGGCAGTGTGGATAAAGAATGGTGTGGTTGTGAGAAGATTGGCTTTGAGGTGTTTAGAACTTGAATGGTGTTATTGGTAGAGGTGGCGGAGCATCTAGGGTTTCAAAAAATGATGGTGGTGGCCAAAAGTTATGAAGAGCATGTTTTAGTTTTTCAAATTTTTCCCTTAAATTTTTATCACATTTTTTTCTACTTAATAATTTTTAAAAGCTTAAAATATAATAGTTTCTTGGGGTAACTTTGTGTAAGCCCCGATGCAACCAAATACAACCAAAATACTCAACCAGACAAGTAGTCAAGTAAATACAATGACAAAGAATATAAGCAATTTTAAAGCACAAAAATAGAGTAACAATAAAGTAAAAGAAATTCAAACCAATCAAACTCCCAAACTTCTTCCAAACTTGGAGTTGAATCCACCAAATAACTTCTTCAATTGATGGTAGTGCTAACCAACTTGTACAAGTGAAGGCTCACTCCTTCCTCACCCCAAACATACTTTGGTTGAGCAAAGGAATTTTACTACTCTCCAAGTAAACCCTCAACTAGCTACAATTGAAAGCTTACCCACTCAATTAAGAATTACTTTATACAAGTGAGGCAACCTTTATCAAGGTTTTATCACTCCAAGTGATAGGTTCACCTTCACCAAGGTTTTACTCCTCCCAGAGAGTAACCTTCACTTGAGCAACCTCACAACCCAACTTTCCCAACCCCTTATACAACCAACAAATAATATTTCTACTCAAAGATCTCACTTGTAAGTTTGTATTTAGTGTTGGCCAAAAGTCTGTGTCTTCTTGTGTTTTGGGGTATTTATAGAAGGTGAGAAATGACTCCAAAAGGCTCTCCAACGGTCAAATATTAAATGCTGTCGAAACTAGCCGTTGGCCTGTCGGACGTCCGAACCACCTATCGGACGTCCGAACCATTTGTACTGTGTCCGAACCCTGCGTCCGATAGAAGTCAGAATGTTCAACTTTCATTCTTTTTGTGTCGGACGGCCGAAGCAATGAATGAGCGTCCGATCCAAGCGTCCGAAGAGTATCGTCGTCTGTCGGACGTCCGATCCTCTATCGAGCGTCCGATTCTCTACGTCCGAACCTTCATATTTCTTAACTTCTCTTTGATTCAAATTTTTTCGATTCTCTTTTAGATCAATGACCTGTTCTAACAAATTTCTCACATAAAAACATTAGTCCAAATCTACATTTTGGTTTGTTAATCATCAAAACCAAGGACTGATCAACCAAGGTCAACACTTTGGGTTATCACTCAATTTGCTAGCTTAATGATGGCAACAGACATTAGTTTTGTAACGTCAAGGGGCTTTTTGCTGTGATTATCAAGTTTAAGGGTATTGACTATAATATTTCAAACTTAATGGGGGCCAGCAGTAGTCTGGCTGAAACACTAGGGAGGTGGATGTAATTAACCCTAATTTTTAAAACAAGCTCTATATACGGATATGTTTAAAAAATGGCAATTTACAAATTCCTTTTAAGTTATAGGAAAAGGTCTGGGTAACCTCTATTATCGACTTGAGTCACCGCCAATCCCGCTTCAACTTATCGTCATTTCACGCAACAAACATGGAACCGTCCATCAATTTATCTACTTTTGTGCCTTCACTGTTCTCACTTGCCAGTTTATTCCTTTTCTCAATAGCAAATATTTTCACTTAACCTAAATTAGACACGATAAAAGAAAAAATCCCTCTACTTTTTCTTTTCATATGTAAAATGATGGCTAATTAATTTTGATTTTTATTCGTTTTTAAAAGAAGGGTTTTTTTCATGCACGTATTATCAAATGTTGCTCCAAAGATGATTTTTTTTCCACGATAATTTTCGATAGATCAACTTCGAGGAAATATGACATATGCGAAATCTATACACCTTTATCCATCGTTTCTGGAAAAAAGAAAAAGAAAAAGAAAGTAATCTGGACACCTAAATTATTGCATTTCGAAGGTCCTTCGCATGCACTGCAGGCTTAGAAAAGGGGAAAAAAAAGGTCCTCCAACGAAATTTGTCCTTCAACTAAATAAGCAACAAGAACAGAAGGATTTTGGCTTCAAAAGTTGAGATGTATATGTCCAATTCAAACCAATTCGTATATTTTTTACTGTAATTCATGTACATTTTTAGTCTAATAGTGAATTTTACACCAATTAATTATTTAAGTAAATTCGAGTTTACATAAAAAATTGTAATAATTACATCAATCGATTTAATTAAAGAGGCCCTGTATTGGGGATAGAGATGGCATAATAGATTGTTCACCTTAAAATATTAATTACGAATTAGTATAATTATGATTATTTGAGTAGGGCTCAGGTACAGCTTTTAACGAATCGAACTGCTCATGAATATATTCATATTTGACTCGTTTGAGTTCGAAAAAAATAACTCGATCGTTTAATAAACATGTTCGCGTTTACCTCGTTCAAGTTCCCAAAATAGGAAAAAAAAGTGATTGTTTTAATAAACGAATCATATTTGAACACAATATTAGACTCGTTTAACAATCAAGCTAAACATGAACTCGTTTGCGAACTATTCAAATAATTCATGAACACATATATAATTATATAAATAAATATAAATATAAATACATTTAATATTATGAAATATATATTATATTTTACTCAAAAAGTGATCACGCATTATTTATTTTTCAACAAAGAAATAAAATAAAATTTATTCTCAATGGTATTAAAACATAATTAAATTATTTTTAAACTCAAATTCAAACTCGAGTTTGTGCTTGAATTCGGCCTGTTTATATTTCAATGGTTTACGTTTGCTAAGCTGGGTAAGACTTCCTCCATATATGGAAATGAATTTGAAGCGAGTTTTCAAGAAACTGTTCGAGTTTTAGCAAAAAACTGCTCTTCGTAAGCGTATCGATTGGTTGAAGGGTCTGAAAAGAACGTAGTTTTGGGGGAATGATACCCGTTGGGATCCCACCTCAAATTCAAACTCAAATATTTATACAAATTAACAAATTGAATTTTAACAATGTTTATAACTCTTTTATTATTCGATCGAATTTGAACCCCGTGAACACTAAGGTTCCGTTTGATAAAATTGAATCTGAATTCTGAAATCTGAATACTGAAACGATTAATTTGTTGAATTTTAAGCACTGAAAAGAAATATATGAATGTCTGAATTTTAATGCTAAATCTATTTATACTGTTTGATAAACATTTATAACTGAATGCTTAATAAGCTAAATTGATAATTTTGCCCTTATATCTTTTCATCCAAAAAAGAAAATAGAACCTATGATTTAATTAGTTTAAAATTGTTAGGTATGAAAATGACAATATTTATTTTTAAAATTAATATAAAAGATGAAATATATTATACGAGGAGTATGGAGAAAATATGAAAATCATTAAAAAAGGAGAAAAGAAATAT